GGGATGACTGATAATACCACATTCCCCTTTGTTCTTCTTCTGGTCCGTAAAAAAAGCTAGAATGTAGAGTGGAAGGAAGGAAAGTGACTTCGTTTAGGTGCATAGCAAGATAGCAAGGTAGCCCAATAGAGCTGGTAAACTAAGCTAATAGCAGGCATTCCGAAAGCAGAATGGAAACCCTTCTCCAAGGAAATAAGAAGATTAAGTTGGCTTTGTTGGGATGATGGCCAGGATCCATGCAAAAATGGGCAGGTCACGAAGATCCAATTTGGGAAGATGTGTGTGGCTGGGACTCTGCCCGCAGATATAAGAAACCACTCTGCCTTGACCGTGTACAAAGTGATAGACAAAGGCCTCGTCAGACTACTGCTGAATCTGGCTGACAATCCTTTATTGTCGACTGTCAAGAGTGTGGTTTAATTTTTACTTGAGTTAGCAGTTAAAGGGCAGTAGAGATGAAGGTTTCAATGTCTGGAAATAAAATTACACAGCCTTGTTGGAGTGCTTAAAGCACACTTCGCTCACTTTTTTACTCCAGTGCAGTAAGTGACAAATGAAAAAAGGCCTATGGTCACTACTACTAACATGGAGGGGTTCAAAAACTTTACCCATAGTTGGGGTTGCTAATAATAATTGCCAAAACCAAATGGGGTTTCAGGAAAATTACTATCAATGAACATGTTCAGATGTCAAAGTCATATGCTCATAAAAAATGTTTACAGAATCATTGCCGAACAGTTAGGTTTAATATGATTTTCTTTTTCGACTAGTTCTCACATGAATATATCAACAATGCCACCATACTTTCGGAATCAATTTAATCTATCAAGATAAGGATGACAATCAACTGGTTCTCATGTCTTTTTAACAAAAACTTATAATCTTAAAAACATTATTAAAAGGTTTAAAGAGGAGATATAAAAAAGGCGAATAGGATGGATTAGATATTTAGATTATCAGATGTCAAATAGACTACTGTGGTTTTAGAAAATAGAACTAGCGTAGAATAAGCGAAACAGATACAATGAGAGAAAGAGAGGAGTTGAAACTTACTCCAATTTGAACTACGTCTTGAAGTTGATGAAGAAGGATCAGTATGCAATACAGATACAGACGGAGATTCATTTGCATCTATGAACTGTATTTTAAAATTTTCTGTGTATCTTACAAGATTGTCAAACTCCAAGAGCTTGCTTCTTAGCACTGAAGTATCCTGTATGGTAGAATAGTAGCAAATGTGTAACACAAAAATAGGCAATGATCATTATCAGTTCTGAAAATATCAAAACTAAAAAAGAAATACCCAAATAAAAAGTTAAAAGCCAGAATCTGATAAAATTAGGTGATACAGAGTAATTATTAAATAGTTATAAATCTATTAGGGCCAACAACAGCAACAACATTACCCCGGTGCCTCAAAGGCTCCCGCGCATTGTGGGGTGGGGGGGTCGGATGTACGCAGCCTGAGCACTATGTTTAAGACATAGAGCGGCTGAAATCTATTAGGGCCAAGAAAAAGGAAATAAAAACTGCATGTGATTTAGAACTACACAACTTAACAGTCCAACCGGCACAAGGTATTGCATCATAAAATTGGTAAAATTTAATTTCAATCTATATTTAGTTGGACACAATCCACTATTTCCCATTCTTGTTTAATGTGATCAACCAAATGGACTGCTGATCCCATCAATATTAGCACAATAGGTGCCTAAGATTATCAAATTGCAGCAATCAGTGTAGCAAATTATTATCCCATCACCAAATAGAATGATTGGTTTAGCAAAAGAAACATAAAAAAATGCACTCTAATAGTTGAAACTTACAGGTAAGGCATATAGTGTAATAAGTGCATGCCCAAGAAAAACAGCATCTAAACTTGTTGGCCTAGATAACAGCAGTTGTCAGTGCACACCAGTGGGCAGAAAACGTTTGCTAGGAAAAATATCTAAATTGAATCCTGTTAGAGCCGTACATATATAACATACTCCCTGTGTCCCAATAGACTTTGCCAATTTTAAATGAGCATATGGATTTAAAAACTTGAAAATTGTGATAAGTCTGTTTTGTGATGGTTAAGTTGTTGGGATAGTTTGAAGAGCAAACAATTATATATTAATGTTTTCTTTAAAATTTATCATTTTTAATGTTTCCTGTCACAAAAAGTGAAATTTAATGCGTACTTGTAATTGGTCAAAGTTGGGAGTAAAACGAGTTACTTTTCAATAGAAAAATAATTTTAGCTCATCATTGGAGCTGAATCTGGAGCTAACACAGGAGAAAAGTGTTTAGAATAAGGTTGCAATGAAAATTGGAGTAAATGCGGGGAAGGCGAGCTGGAAGGCGCCCGCCTTGGGTACGGAGGCAAACAAGCATAGTAGAGGCCAGCAAATTAAGCTGAGGCGAGGGGAAAGTGCCCGCCTTCCAGTCCCCCTAAGATTCAGAACCGGCATGGAGACAGGGAATCAAGTATAGTGAACAGTGAACACTGACCACAAATTTATTTCCTTAAAAGGAAAGTCATTAAGTATTTTGGGATGAATACAAATTTAACAGTTGGCAAAGTCAATCAGGGTGGAGGGATAGAGATAATTGTTTGATGAAAAAAAGAAACCACCTCTCAATGAAAAAGGATTGGTCTCTTAACATTGTTGACAAAGCGCTATAAGCAGTGGAAGCTTTCCTGTAAATCTGTGGCAAGTCGCAACAATTTTAAAACAACCTGTCCATTAGTTTCTGCATGAGAATAAGAGTCATAAATAGAGCTTAACTTGTGTGTATATCTGTGTGTAGAGACAACCACCCTTTAGCTCATTTATGTCCCTTTGTGAACTTTTCTTTATTGACAGAAAAATAAATATAATACCCAGAGTACTTACTTCTTCTTCTATTTTATCAGCATTCTCAGTTGTTATCCCAAGATGTTGTTTTGTAGCATGAACTTGCTTAAGGTATAGAAGTTTTCCTATTGGCCAAGGAAGATCAGAATAATAAATCTGCACAGAACTCACATCAGACCCAACCCAGAGTTCAAACAAAAGAGCATCCGCAAGCCATGAATCCGCCATAGCCATCGTTGATGCCCATTCTGGACGGTGGCGTACTGCAGAGTCTAAATCATCGATCATACCGTCATCCTTTAAACTCTGAATGACACCACCCTTTTCATTATTGTAGGCCACATAAGTTCCATACTCAACATAAGGTATTTGATCTGTCAATTGTGTAGAAAACATTATCAGCTTACAGAAAAAACAAAGGTAATAATTAAACAACATGCAGGTTTTCCAGTTGACTCATTGATGAAGAAATAATATCACTCCAAGTAGAGCCCATCTGTCACATTTTATTTGTCCTATCTTATAGTTTGTCCCAAAAAATGTCTATTTTAATAATGTTAAGACAATTGCCTTTGAATTTCTTAAACAATTTTGACTACATATGTCCCATTTGAGGGATAGTTTTGGAAAACACAAGGCTTATTTTGTTGCAATATAACTGCACTAAAACAAATGTCCCTTATGTTTCTGAAGAGATGGGGTGATAAGCATAAGAACAATTATGTGTATTAAGGATTTAAGGGGAACATTTCAAACTTATTGAAGTTATTACTTACTTCGTTTAACAAGATGAACCCTCAGTGAGTGCAAAGACATCTTCAATAAAAAAAGAACTAACAGTTTATCGAAGGTTGAAGTAATACACAATATGCAACAACTATTAAAGTTCTCCATTTCATAATAATATCAGAAGAGCCAATGCTCCTTTAAGCCATTATAAAAAAGTGTCTGAAACTTTTATGGCATAACCATTCCACTCATCTCAAACAGTTCATTACTCCAACTTTATAGTAACTGGTTTTTTTGTCAAAAACAGTGTTAAGGTCCAAAACACTACAATAAATGCTAAAGTCAAGTTGGTAGATCCAATTCATAATTTTCCAACAAAGCTGAAAAATCCAATTTCCTATTCTCACATAAACCATGTATCCAAAATTTAATTGTAATTGAACAAGTTCGACTGTTGCATCCAATAAAAGCAAAAGTGATCATCATTATGTGAAACAAAACTCAATGATAACTGCTTCTAAATATTGCTTGAACCTCACAGATCATGACGGCCACTCAAATAATTAATAAACAGCTGACATTCATTTAAATGTTTGCTTTATATGTAACTTGAATAATTAATTATCAATTAACAGTGCAAGAAACATAAACATTTCAAACTCTCAAAAGGAATTGAAACCCAAACACACAAAATTCAATCGGTTGTGCTTGGGGGAAACCAAAACGGTATCATTTTTTAAATTGGACAAAGAGGACTGAATGAAAACGAAAAAGTACCAGAATCTGGGTGAAGGGAATTGAAGGCCAAATCGAAGGGGCGTTGGCAGAACCTTAGGTAAATATAAACGGGCAAGCAGCTCGGGCAGGCAGTGGGTAGTCCGAAACATGCTTTTCTTGTCACCAGAGTCAATTTCTCATTGGCTTCCTCCATTGATGCCTGCACTGTAACTCCGACACACTGGAACGGCGGACATATTAAACCCTAGGGTTTTGAACGTGCATCATTTGGTCCGGGTCTGTATTGAGTTGAAATCCCGTCAAAACCGAACCGGGCCAGTTCAAAGTTCATTCTTTTAATTTTCCTCATTTGGATTTAGGTGTGATCCGGCACGTCCCGGTCTACGTCCAGACTGGTGGACAATTTAGATTTTGTTATGTACAAATGTCTTTTGATATTCTCCATATCTAAGTTAGACCTTTGCTTTTTCCATTTGTAAGCCTATATATAGAGGCTCTATATGTTGAAATGGAACATCCTTCTCCTTAGTCTATTGATCTCATTGCATTTCTTCTCCTTTGATTCTCCATTGCACTTTGATCTTTGATTTGCGCTATCAAGGTATATCTCTATCATTTGTTCATAACGATATTCGTATTATCTTTATTTCTAACACGTTATCAGCACGATAGCAAAAAAAATTCTAATTTTATAGAAATTACTCCCCTTCATCACTTATCCTTGTTCATATTCATGTTATAGATATATACATATACATATACACCTATTTATTTTAGTTTTTTTAGTGTACTTGTAGATATATTGAATCTAAAGCTCCTAAATATATTAGAGAATTGGTATGTGAAGCCTACATTATGTGTTATAGTTGAAGGTTATATGATAAAAGTCAACCTGAAGTTTGAGTACATATTATGTCGGAAAAAATTTTCATTTCTTTAGTTTTTTTTCTCTTTTGGCTAGTGAACTTGAAGTTCATATTCTGATTTCATATGCTCAAAGCATTAACAGTGAAACTCAAACCTGAAGATTTGAGTACGCCACATAAATATATATAGGTGACATTATTATTTACTATGCAACAAAGAAATAATAATAATAATAATAATAATAATAATAATGTTAATATTATAGACTTATTATTTGTGATTATGTAATGTGCTCTAATTTATCATCATGTCCATAGTTTTACTCTAATTTATCATTGTGGTTATTGTAACCTCCGCTATAATAATGATAATAATGCATAATAAATAGTAATAATAATTGAGACCCTTCAAGTACCTAAGCCGTTTTTATAAAAAAAACCCTATTATTCAATCAATACACATTAATTTATTTATTTTTAATCTACTAATTTGATATATGTGTATATGTGCATTTTAAAAAAATGTACAATTAGAATTATTTGATAAATAAAATTGTCTTGTATGGTGCAATTTACATATACATTTGTTTTCTTTTCAACTAGTAGATTCTAGTAACGAATTATAAAAAAAATCAGCATGAAATATATGACTAAAGGTTAGGATCAACGAGCCCACATGGTTCTAAATAATAATAATTTATAATTCATTTTCAGTTATGGGTAACCTCACCAAGCTTGAATTTGCTGCCCTTGACATTTCCGAAAAGAACTATTTGACATGGGTTCTTGATGTTGAGATTCATTTGAATGCAATGAATCTTGGAAATGCTATTAGGGAAAATGGTGGGGCTAGCGAACAAGAAAAAGCAAAGGCAATGATTTTCATACGTCATCATCTTCATGAAGGCCCGTAGTCCGAATATATTGGGGTCAAAGACCCTGCGACTCTTTGGAGTGACTTGGAGGAGAGATACAACCATCTAAAAAGTGTGATACTTCCAAAGGCTCGTTATGATTGGATGCAACTAAGGTTGCAAGATTTCAAAACAGTAAACGAGTATAATTCTGCTATGTTTAGGATTGTATATCAATTAAGGTTGTGTGGAGACACCGTCACTGATGCTGATATGTTAGAGAAAACATTTACCACTTTTCATGCCTCTAACATGCTTTTGCAGCAGCAGTACCGAGAAAAGGGATTTACTAAGTATTCCCAACTTATCTCTTGTCTCCTTGTTGCTGAACAAAATAATGATCTTCTCATGAAAAATCAAAACTCTTGCCCTACTGGCTCTCAACCATTCCCCGCAGCGAATGCAATCAATTCATTCCCAGAAGCGAATGCTAATTTTTGTGGACGAGGGCGTGCTCGTGGCGCGGTCGTGGCCGTGGTTATGGGCGAGGTCAAGGAGGATTCAACAACAATGTTTTTAGTAAGAAATCTATACCAAACCACTCGAATTAGGAAAATAAAGACCAAAAACAAGAAAAGGGGAAGATTGTTAAAGGTGATGCTTCAAAACAAAGGTATGAAATTTGTTGCAGATGTGGAGTGAAAGGTCATTGGTCTCGTACTTGTCGTACACCAAAGCACCTTGTTGATCACTATCTAGCATCTACCAAAGGAAAGAAAAAAGGAAAGGAGATAAATTTTGTTGATTTTGACAATGACTTTGATACTACAATTGAGCCGATGGAAGCAACTCATTTTGATGTGGATGACTTTCTGATTGAGCCAAGTCGTGATATTAATGGAGTTGAATTTTATGGTGGTGATCCTTCAGTTAGCCAAAATAAGATTAAGGATGAGTAATTTTGAGTCAAGTTTAATTTGTGTTGCAAAATAATATTTATTTTTAATTTTAAGTCTTGTTTGTTGTGTCCTTTTCAGTCGAGTTTATTTTATGTTATAAAATAATATGTATTTCCAATTTCAAGTTTTGAGTCATCATGAATAATGTTTTTTTATTAATAAAAAAATCATGACTTCTTACTTTTCTTATTTTTATTTATGTATTCTATCAAGATGGAAAAACAAAAGGCCATGAACAACTTAAAAGATGAAGATGTTTGCTTGGTTGATAGTGGGACAACACACACAATTCTTAAAGATCAAAAGTATTTTTCAGATCTGCAGTTAGCAAAAGCAAATATTAGTACAATTTCTGGTACTACGAAGTTAATTGAGGGCTATGGAAGAGCAAATATAATTTTATCCGGGGGAACCAATATTGTTGTAAAAGAGGCATTATACTCATCTAAGTAAAAAAAACTTATTAAGTTTTAAAGATATACGACTTAATGGGTTTCATGTTGAAACTATGAATGAAGGAGGTACGGAATACCTTTCTATCACATATACAAATCATTGCCAAAAGCAAGTAAAAGAAAAACTTCCAGTTTTCTCATCTGGATTGTATTATACCACCATTAGCACCATCGAATCAAATGTTATCGTGAACTAGAAGTTCAATGATCCTAAACAATTTATGCTTTGGCATGATCGACTTGGTCACCCTGGATCGACCATGATGCGTCGTGTACTAGAGCACGCTAATGGGCATCCTTTAAAGAACCACAAGATCCTTTTGCCTAATGAATATTTTTGCATAGCATGTTCACAAGGTAAATTAATTACAAGGCCATCCCTAATGAAAGTTGACAATTAGTGTCCAACATTCTTACAGCGTATTCAAGGAGACATTTGTGATCCTGTTGACCCACCTTCTGGACCATTTCGTTACTTCATGGTCTTACTTGATGCCTCATCAAGATGGTCTCATGTATGTTTGTTGTCATCACGTACAACTGCTTTTGCTAAACTCCTTGCTCAGATAATCAAATTGAGAGCACAGTTTCCTGATTATCCAATCAAGACCATCCGTATTGATAATGCTGGTGAGTTCACATCTCAATCCTTTAATGATTATTGCATGTCGATTGGAATTGATGTTGAACATTCAGTTGCCCATGTTCATACCCAAAATGGCCTGGCAGAGTCATTCATTAAGAGATTACAATTAATTGCTAGACCTTTACTTTTAAGGTCAAATTTGCTTACCTCTTGTTGGGGGCATGCCATATTACATGTTGCACCATTGGTGCGCATACGACCAAGTTCTTATCATTCTTACTCACCATTGCAATTGACTTCTGGCCAGCAGCCAGATCTATCTCACTTAAAAATATTTGGTTGTGCGGTGTATGTTCCTATCTCTCCACCTCAACGGACAAAGATGGGCCCACAAAGACGACTTGGAATTTACGTTGGTTTTGATTCCTCATCTATCATTAGATATATTGAACCATTGACAGGCGACTTGTTTAAAGCAAGGTTTGCTGATTGTCATTTTGATGAGACAGTTTTTCCACCGTTAGGGGGAGATAAAACCCTAATTCATATAGAACTACGTGAAATTACTTGGAATGTACCATCTTTGTCTCACTTGGACCCACGCACGAATCAATGTGAACAAGAGGTGAGACGAATAATACATTTGCAAAATATTGCAAATCAATTGCCAGATGCATTCACTGATACAAAAAATGTGACGAAATCTCATATACCAGTTATTAACACACCTGCACGTGTGGACGTCTCAGATGAACAAAATAATGAAGCACTAAAACCGCGCATGAAGCGTGGACGTCCTCTTGGTGCGAAAGATAAGAACCCTCGAAAGAAAAGGGTACAAGAGATGAAGATCTCAAATGATAATAATATTTCAAATCAAGAAAACGTTAAACAAAATATGACTGATCAGTCTGAAATTGTTAAAGAAAAGACCTATGAAAAGGTACATGCCCCTGAAGAGGAATGTCTAGAAGGTTTTAGATCTGAAGAGATATCCCTAAATTATTTGAGTACAAAAGAGAGTTGGGATAGAAAAAAGGTGATCATCGATGACATTTTTGCTTATAGTGTTGCATTAAATATTACAAATGAGGATCCTGAACCAAAATCTGTAGAAGAATGTCGACATAGAAATGATTGGCCAAAATGGAAAGAAGCAATGCAAGATGAGTTAAAATCTCTAGAAAATCATAAAGTTTTTGGACCCATAGTTCAAACACCTGAAGGTGTAAAGCCCCTTGGGTTCAAATGGGTTTTTGTGCAGAAACGCAATGAGAAAAATGAAATTTTCATATATAAGGCAAGACTTGTTGCCCAAGGTTTTTCACAGCGGCCTGGAGTCGATTATGATGAGACATATTCACCTGTGGTAGATGCAATTACATTGCGTTATTTGATTAGTTTAGTAGTCACAGGAAAGACTGGACATGCGTCTCATGGATATTGTTACAGCATATCTGTACGGATCTTTATATAATGAGATTTACATGAAAATCCCTGAAGGATTCAAAATTCCTAAAGCATGCAATCAGAAAGCTCGTGAGTTGTTCTCAATCAAGTTACAGAGATCATTATACGGATTGAAACAATCTGGTAGAATGTGGTATAACCGTCTTAGTGAATACCTTGTTAGAGAAGGCTACATAAATGATCCAATTTGTCCATGTGTTTTCATCAAGAGATCTGAAGTTGGATTTGCTATCATAGCAGTATATGTAGATGACCTAAACCTTGTTGG